TGCTTTAGTCTAGCTAGGGATGAATCCTTTTTCAATTTCCTTCCCATCGGTACTTCTCATCTTTAAAAGGTAACTGTAAAGGTTCCCCTCGCACATATGTGCTAGTCGTTCCCGACTCTAGGGGGCGGTGTTTATCTCCGTTTCAAAGCTGAAGAGCCAGCACTGTCCGAAGACATCTCTGTGGTCCTGTGGCCGGCATGACTCAATGCCAAAGGCGCACGGAACGCTGTTACCTTCCCACCAAAGGTGGTTCCTATTTTTCTACTTGCATTTTTTACGTGCTTTCGGACTGCTAGGTTGGCAGAAGCTGGGACAAGGAATGGGAGCTCACCCCATTACACTGCACTAGGGATTCAAATCTTTCGATCGACAAACTCAGCGTCTTAGCCACTGAGCCACCTCATCGCTTCTCATCTTTAGGTATTATTACAAAAAAGAGAGCTATAAATGAAAATAACATCTAAATTTGTTCTGATCCTTTTGGTGAGCGTAGTCATTCCCACCGCGCCTGAACACATGCTGGTAAAAGAAACTCCTAAGTTGCTGTTATTGTAGGTTGGAAATGCAACATTTAACATTTAATGGTTGTTTTTCAGGTCAGAGTTGTTACTTTTCATTGCTTGTTAGATTCGCTTCATATTTTATTTTATTGTCGGTTTTTGGGACACTTCAGTGCCTTGCATTCCATTGTAGCCTTGCTTGAAATTGTGTTTGGGGTCAAAGCAATCTTCTCCCATGCTTCTTCTTTTGAAGATTTTTTTTTTAAATCCTGCTAGATGACATATTATAGAATAGTTTTTGTTTCTTCCCCACTTGCTTCTATAGTATTTGAGCACTGAGAGACTCTGGAGAATTTCAATCTTCGTTTCTGGCCCTTTAATGAAATAGAGTCCTTTCGAAGAAGGAAAAATTGCAGGGGTGAAATACTACTGGTTCGGGCCAGTTCGCGTGAACTGGTAGTAAAAATGCTACTGGTTCTCCCAAACTGATAGTAAAAAAATGCTTTAGAAAGTAAAAAAAAAGTTCCCATGATCATGCAGCACAGCTGATCGTCTAAACTTTTGTTTTACGTTTTTAAAACATTTTTTTTTACTACTGGTTCAGGCAACTAGGTAGTAAAATATGCTAAAAAAAGGTTCCGACAATCAGCTGTGACAATCAGCTGTGACAATCAGCTGTGCTGTGCGATCGTCGGAACTTTTTTTTTTACTTTTTAAAGCATGTTTTTACTATCTATTGCCCAAACCGGTATTTTTGTGTAAAGTGTGATAGTTGGTTTTTGAGCTTTCTGTGAGGTTCCTGCTTGTTGCAGGGGCCATTTTGTGTGAAGTCCAGCTGCTTTTGCATTGTGTGTTAGTCAGTTGTGTAGCTTTTGTGTTATTTTTGTGTAAAGTGTGATAGTTGGTTTCCCCAGTCACATGGCCACCAAGCCACACCCACCCAGTCACATGACCACCAAGCCACGCCTACAGAACTGGCAGGGAACATTTTTGAGTTTCACCACTGAAAAATTGTATACCAATATGTGACAGAAATCTATGATAAACTATAAAAGTTTAGAAGTTCCGCAATTTCCTTTTGAAATCTATACGTAGTAGGTAGGACAGGGGACATCATCTAGTTGAGCAAACATCAGTAACCTGGTCTGTTCATAATGTATAAGTAGTCCTCAACTTACGACCACAATTTTGAGCCCAAAATTGCTAAGCGAGACAGTTGTTAAGTGAGCTTTGCCCCATTTTTACGACCTTCCTTGCCACAATTGTTAAGTGAATCACTGCAGTTGTTAAGGTAGCAGCACAGCTGTTAAGTGAATCTAGAATCAATGGCTTCACTATTGACTCTGCTTGTGAGAAGGTCGCAAAAGGGGATCACATGGCCCCGGGGACACTACAACCGTCATAAATATGAACCAGTTGCCAAGCACCTGAATCTTGATAACCTGACCATGGGGATGCTGCAACCTCTTGTAAGTGTGAAAAAAGGAAATAGATCACTTTTTTCAGTGCCTTTGGAACTTTGAATGGTCATTAAATAAAAGGTTGTAAGTCAAGGACTACGTGTACTAAGATTTATTCATGTATTTATTGCAGCCTGATGCACACATCGATGCCTGGTGGCTTAGTGAGCCCATCATATTATTATCTCACGGTACCCCTAATAGAACATGGCTTCAAGTGAATTTTGAGCATCAAAATGGTATCGTTGACAAATTTAAATGGAAACTTAATTCGTTCCTTCCCCCTTTTCAGAAGTGGGTTTCAGCAGGTTCTGACCAGTTCTGGAGAATTGGTACCAGAAATTTTGAGCAGTTTGGAGAACCAGTAGTAAAAATTCTAACTGGCCCTGCTCCCATCTATTCTCTGCCTCCCAAGTCCCAGCTGATCAGGAGGAAATGGGGATTTTGCAATATCCTTCCCCTGGAGTGGGGTGGGAATGGAGATTTTACAGTATCCTTTCTCTGCCACGCCCACAGAACCGATAGTAAAAAAATTTTTGAAACCCACCACTGCCCCTTTTGCTTGGTTTCTCTTCTGCATTTCGACTCCGTCTGGCACTCAAGGCTGACAGGCAAGATTTAAACTTACAACGTACCGAATAAAATGCCTACTAGCATAAACTGAAACAGGATATTAAAATTAAGTCATAATTAAAAGCCTGTCAGTAGATTTGTGTTTTTACAGATTTTCTAAATGCTAACAATGCCGGGCCGAATACAGGCTCTAGGGAAATTTATTACACAACCTGAACAGCAGAAGTGCTGTTTGTCCCGAATGACAGTTGTGTAAGTCTTTGAGAGAAGAGGTATCTTCAGAAGGGCCTCTTCAGAAGGTCTGAGTGGCTGGATAACTTCATAGGAGAAGCTGTCTCTTAGACAACTGGGCCGTAAACCTATTTTTGGCTGTAAAGGTAACACCAGCCACTTTAAATATGTCCATTAAACCAGTCTGTATCTTTGCTATTAACTATCTTGCACCAGCTCATAGCTGACTTACTGTTTTTACAGTTCCGATCTAGCTATTGATTTTTTTTTTTAACCAAAAAAGGAGAATATTTACAACTCAGGGTTGAAACTGAAGGATCTTTGGTGCTCTCTGAGCTTGGTTGTGTTCTTGAAGACCTTTCTAGCACCAATGGTGTTACCTAATTTGTGTAATGAAACATCTGCAACAGTGGTGGGATTAAAAAAAAAATTACTACCGGATCTGTGGGCGTGGCTTGGTGGGCATGGCTTGGTGGGCATGGCAGGGGAAAGATACTGTAAAATCTCCATTCCCATCCCAATCCAGGGGAAGGTTACTGCAAAATCTCCAGTCCCTCCCCACTTCAGGGGAAGGTTACTGCAAAATTTCCATTTCCTCCCGATCAGTTGGGAGGCAGAGAATAGGTGGGGCTGGGGCCAGTCAGAGGTGGTATTCACCGGTTCTCCGAACTACTCAAAATTTCCTCTACCGGTTCTCCAGAACTGATCAGAACCTGCTGAATACCACCTCAGTTTGGGGAATATGGGTTTTCCATTGACTTCTTCCAGAAAGTTATTTTGACTTGGCAGAGCCTCTCATCCAAGTATTAAACAACTCTATGGTCTAACCCAATGATGGCTAACCTTTTTGCTGTTGCATGCCAAAAGTGGGGGGAGCGCAGGTGTGTGTGTGTCACACGCACGCGTGGCCACACCCATAATTCAATGCGCCCTGCCCCCGCACATGCACGTGTGACCCCTGCTTTTCACACGTGATGGCCTGGTGGACCCATTTGGTCTGTTTTTCGCCCTCCCAGGCTCCAGAGGCTTTCTTGGAACCTGAGGAGGGCGAAAACGGCTTTTTCCACCCCCCCGGAGGCCAGAAATGGCCCATTTCCCAACTTCCGGTGGGCCTGGAAGGCCCGAAAATTAGCTGGCTGGTGCGCACATGCACGCTGGAGCTGAGCTAGGGCAACACTTGCGTGCCCACAGATACGGCTCCATGTGCCACTTATGGCATGCGTGCGATAGGTTCGCCATCACGGGTCTAACCCATTTGGGAAAGACAGTTGACAAGTATATATCGACATGTATAGAGTATTTGAGAGGGATGGGTGAATAGATCCATCTATTTCTTGCATGCATTACTATTATGTTGTCTGTTTGTGTTTGTTCCATCTCATTACATTTCTGTGTTAACCTCCCATCTCTCTCAGGAGAAAAAGAGAGAGAGGAGTGTTGGAAGAAATGTCCATCTGGGTTCAGTTCCAAGTGGGGAAAAAGACACTGGATTCATGGAAGTTGCTTGGAAAGGAGGTTTACTGATGAATAGGGTCACATGGCTTGAGTTCCTGAGCAGAAAAGGGCAGAGATGCTGAGAGTGCTTGGGTTTTATGCTCTCCTTTGGGCCCCGTCTTAGAGCTTCCTGTTCCTGTGTAAGAAATGTATTCTGATTGGTGGTCAGACTCCCAGGGGGTGGGGGGTCTTAGCTAACTTTGTAGACTGTCTGTCTCCCAAGCTTGGTTGAGTCTTGCTGGTGCCCAGGTGCCATGTGGTGAGTTTCTTTTGCTAGATGGGTCCTATTATGTCCATGTCTTTTGTGTTGTGGATGAGCTGGCTCAGGCCTTAATAGCCAGTGGTGGGTTTCATTTTTTTTTACTACTGGTTCTGTGGGTGTGGCTTGGTGGGCGTGGCATGGCTTGGTGGGCGTGGCAGGGAAAGGATACTGTAAAATCTCCATTCCCACCCCACTCCAGGGGAAGGGTACTGCAAAATCCCAATTCCCTTCCAATCAGCTGGGACTCGGGAGGTAGAGAATAGATGGGGGTGGGGCCAGTCAGAATTTTTACTACCGGTTCTCCGAACTACTCAAAATTTCTGCTACCTGTTCTCCAGAATTGGTCAGAACCTGCTGAAACCCACCTCTGTTAATGGCCCATTGACAAAGGGGGTGGGTTGGTGGGGCTGAGTTTCTGCCTCCCTTTTAGGGGAAATATTCTGCCCTTTTAACATTTCCTACAATATTTCATTTTTCTAGGAGAGAGGTGGATGCTAACTTCCTACAGGAAAGAAGAGAGAGGAGAGAGGAGAGAGAATGAGGTATGTGATCAACATTGAACAAAAGTAGTTTGGAGAATTGGTTTGATTTGATCTGGAATCTATTTGAGAGAGGTTTTTAAAAAGCTATCCAGTTTCAGGTCAACAATTCAGTTTGACAGAACAATCTGAATTGTTACTCTGCTTTGGAAAGTTGATTTGATGCAGCCCGTATATAGAGATTGTAATATTTAGATCATTCTAAATATATAGTCTTTTGACGTTTGAGTTCTGAAATACATGTCACACGTGTTTTCATTATTTCTCTTGAGATGAGCTCATAGGGACAGATTAGGTGACTAAAATCTTTCGTTTACCGTTTAGCCTGCGACCTGCAGTTCAAATCGATCCCTTTGGCAGTTTGCGGAGATTGGATTCCTCGAGTTTTCTACTTTTAGAGATGTATAGCTTTCTTTCCAACATTAATGCTCTTTTAATTATTTCAGAGCGAGGTAAAAAAAAAACAACAACAACCCCATCTCTCATTTAATACTTCATTTAGAAATCAGCCTGAAAATAGCTGTTGTTCTACTTGCTCTTTTGTAACATTTACCATTATTCACTGACCTCTAGGCACTTGAATTGAAGGATGCTGCTGGTGGTTACATGTTTGTTGGCTTGTTTTGGAACATTTCTAATTAATTATTTGTAATTGCAGAGGCAAAACCTTTTCCCCCTGTGAGCTTGTTTTTATTTCTTACTTCTTTTCCCAGCCTCGGTAACAAGATGTTTGATCTCTGAAGCCTGTTAAGGTTTAGAAAGAGGAGCAGAAATATCTGGGAGAAAGAGAGAGAGAGAGAGAGAGAGAGAGAGAGAGAGACAGGCAGCCTGGTTCCCAATTAATAAATAATTAAGTTCCAAAGCTTCGGTGCTGTGCTTGAGTCACACCGTTGACATCACTGGGATGTGGTCTCCATGGTGACTTGGCACACGTGAATTGAAGTGATCTCTTTGGGAGGTGGAAGAGGAAAAGCGAGAGGATAAGAAAGTTGGGGGGGGAGGAAAAACAGGGAAAGGGGGTTGAAATGCAGATTAACATATTCTCCCTTATCATCTATTCATGAGCTTTGGTTTTACAACGGTATCGAGAGCCGTAAAAGCCAATCGCACCTCTTTGGCCTTGACAGGGTTCTGTGTGATGACGATGGCTCGAAAATCTCCCCCTTTTTTTTAATTAGTGCATTTGTTGCATCAAAGCTCAAAACATGTGTCTTCGCATGTTTGCACTTCGGAGCGAACAAGGGATCCTTTCGCTTTTCAGAGTCGCTAACCCTGATTTAATGCAAAACAAATGCGCGTGACGGCTATTAGATAGACTGTTAGGATTTTGTTTCTTACGGTCAATTGGGGTTGCACTTCATGCTGTCAGGAAGGTGAAGGCTGGTGTGGGTGGGAAGGATATCAATAGAAGGGAACATTCGTAGCTCAGGGTTAACACTGGGGTCTTTGGTGCTTGGTTACTTTCTTGCAGATGTTTCATTACCTAACTACCCACCGAGCTCCGGATAGCCCCGGATCTCCGCTCCTTCCGTCAAGGCCTGAAGACTTGGTTATTCCAACAAATGGGCTGATTCTGATCCTTGGGTTTTTATTATTTATTATTTTAATCTGGTTTTAGTGAGTTTTTATTATTGTATGTTTTTAATCTGTGTTCGCCGCCCTGAGTCCTTCGGGAGAAGGGCGGCATATAAATTCTGTAAAATAAATAAATAAATAAACAAACTAGGTAACATCATCTGTGCTAGAAAGGAGTGGGGTTTGTTCTTGGGGTGTGAATGTATGTGTGCATATGTATGTATATATAGACATACACACCCCAAGAACAATCCACACACACACATACACATAAATGCACAAAACACAAAACAACACGCCCACCAAAATTGACTGGGCAACTCACTTATATATCACAGAGCGAAAACCCCACTCCTTCTAGCACTGATGATATTACCTAGTTGGGTAATGAAATGTCTGCAAGAAAAAAATCAAGCTCAGAGCGCATCAAAGACCAAGCACCAAGATTCTGCCTCCCCCTCCCCCCTCCCCCCTTCCCCTCCTCTTCCACCTCCCATAAACCCAACTCCCTTCTAGCACTGATTATATTACCTAGTTGGGTAATGAAATGTCTACAAGAAAAAAACCAAGCTCAGAGAGGACCAAGCACCAAGATTCTGCCTCCTCTTCCTCCTCCTCCTCCTCCTCCCATAAACCCAACTCCCTTCTAGCACTGATTATATTATCTAGTTGGGTAATGAAATGTCTACAAGAAAAAAAACCAAGCTCAGAGAGGTCCAAACAACAAGATTCTGCCTCCTCCTCCCATAAACCCAACTCCCTTCTAGCACTGATTATATTACCTAGTTGGGTAATGAAATGTCTGTAAGGGGAAAAAAAAAACCCAAGTTCAGAGCAGTAAGGATTCCACAAGGATGAATTGATTGACCTGCATTTCAACCAGGGCTTGTGGTGTCCTTAATAGCAATCAAGTGCCTTGACTTCCTTTCTGGTGTTCATCTGCACATGGTTATTGGACTCTTGGTTATTATCACATAAGATGATAGGGCTGCTTTTAGGATTTGAACAGAGCAACCTCCCACCAATGTTTAAACCTTGCCTTCTGAAACATTTCCAGATGCAATCTAATCTGCTGGTTTTCACCCAAAAGTCTCTATCCCTTTTGGGCTCAGAATGGTCACCTTTATTTGGGTGAGAAATCACACTTCAAAACATGGCTCACAACATACTTTAAGGTAAAGGTAAAAGGTTCCCCTCGCACATATGTGCTAGTCGTTCCCGACTCTAGGGGGTGGTGCTCATCTCCGTTTCAAGAGCCAAAGAGCCAGCACTGTCCGAAGACGTCTCCGTGGTCATGTGGCCGTCATGACTAAACACCAAAGGCGCACGGAACGCTGTTCCCTTCCCACCAAAGGTGGTCCCTATTTTTCTACTTGCATTTTTTACATGCTTTCGAACTGCTAGGTTGGCAGAAGCTGGGACAAGGAATGGGAGCTCACCCCGTTACGCAGTACTAGGGATTCGAACCGCTGAACTGTCGACCTTTCGATCGACAAGCTCAGCATCTTAGACACTGAGCCACCGCATCCCTTGAGCCACTGTGTCCCTCAACATACTTTACATTATTATAATTAACTTATTGGGATTTATCTCCCTGCATTTTGTTTTCTTATCTGTTCCGTTAAGAATAGCACTCACCGTAGTTTTTGAAAGGGTTCTGGAGATCTAATGCTAACCATAATTAACGTTAGGATTTTCTCATTTTCTCTGATAATCTGAAGGAATTCCTTCTTTTCCTTGCCATTTCCCAACATCCCATGGCTTATTTGAGAACAATCATTAGGGACAGAGGGTGATGAAGGGAAGTGATTCTTGTAATTTCTTGCCAATCTGGCAGTTGTTATCATCAAGGCATTTGAGCTGTGAGCGGCCACATTAACCCCACAATCACATTCAATTTCCCAGCCTTTCAGAGGTAAACAGTCCTAGGTGGTGAAAAAATGCAATTATTTAGGAGGATTGATGGAGAGAACCATATTTTCAGGAACCTGCTAAAATCACAGAAAAGAAGAAGAAGAAGGATTTATCCCAGACCAGAAAGTGTTGAAGCTGTTCCTCAAACCGGTAATGATATCTTTCACCCGTTAAGCAATTACTACATGAAAAATTTGCATCGTTGTGCCCTGCCCTATTCTAGAATGGGTCTCCCTTGCTAAGCAGTTATCTTCATGGGAATTGGAGAAATAAGATATGGGAGTTGAGAATATTTTACATGGTGCATTTAAAATATCCCGCCACCCCCATAGACTATTTATTCTCCATAAAATTATTGCTTCCATTTACAGGACTTGACACAGATACTTGCATAATAAGTGAAAGCTTTGCAGAATCAAAAAAAAATTGCTTTTTCTCATTGACGATTTCCCTTTGTAGGAGCACATAGAGGCAGGACAGAATTGGATAGGTGTCGCTATGCAAGCTACCTTTTCTAAGAAGCAACTGTTCCATTTATATTACCCTTTTTCTGATGCCCTCCGAATGTGTTGCAATTCTTAGTCAGCTTGTTTTGAAGATGAAATCGGTCAAGCTCCACTAAATTGGTCATTCCAATTTGTGGGTAGCAGCCGGAGATTAAGTGTATCATCTCTTAGGTTGGATAGGTTGGTTTGTGATTGTACAACTAGAAAAGCCATAAAGAAGCAGAACATTAACACCAAAAGAAGAATCTGTTGTGGCCTGCCGGCAGCCAGCAGACCTGGCAGCAGAGTCAGACAGTGAGGAGGATGGGGAGGAACATGGGCCAGTCCTGGTGGCTGGGGAAAGCTTGGACGAGGGCTCTGCATCAGAGGCAGAGAGGGAGACAGACAGCAGTGAGGCAGAGGAACTGCTGGAGCCTGTTCCCTGTGTGTGCATGCGCAGAGCTGCCAGAAGACAAGAACAACTCAGAAAGCAGAGTCGACTTGGGAGTAAAACCACACCTTGGAGATGATTGGCCCCTCCCATAGGTGTTGTGGCCCGCCAGCGGCCTGCACGGATCATGGCTGATCCCGACGATGAGGAGGCTGGTGTGGTGTCGGACCAGCAGCCTGTGCAGCCGGCGCTCGCGTCAGACAGCGAGGAGGCCAAAGAGGATGTGATGCCAGAGGCAGAGACTCAGCCAGGGCCTTCAGAACCTCCAGAGGCTCCTTCCAGTGGAGAGAGCGAAGTGGAGGAGCCTCTCCTCAATGCTCGGGCATGCAGGGCTGCCAAAAGGCAGGAGTGGCTACTCAGGAGGAGGAGGTCTACTCGAGAGTAGGCCTTGAGGATAATTGGCCACTCCCTTAGCCTATTTAAGTGGCACACAGCTAGTGCTTTCTTGCTAGAAACAACGTCTCATTACTACAGAGCATCTTGGAGAGCGAGCAACTTCTCAGATCTGGTTTTCTGGGCTGGTTGCCAACCTTTGTCGGACTTTCTTCTTAATAACTTTGATAAGGACCCTTTGCAAG